ACACACACACACACTCACAGCTGAGGTCACTCACCTGGGACACCGGGCCCTCTCAGGAAAGACCAAAAGAGAAGATAGGGCAGATGGTGGCCCTGTCTCTGCCCCTACTTTGCTTCCCCCTGGAGTCCAGTCTTCCCCTCTCCACAGCAGCCCTGGCTTCCAACGACGCTTTATCCCTTAGCGTGTGAGTACCAAAAGACCTTTGTCACAGTACGGAAAGTTAGTGGTGGGTGAAAATGAATCTTTTTTTGTTGGAGAAACTGCATGGTCACCGACCTTTGTGGCACCAGGGCTCCTCCCCCACCAGGAGCAGAAAGGGAAGGCACAGGACAGTCAGTGCAGGGCTTCTCCTTGGCCTCCTTAATGTTTTTCTCTGGTCCCTGGTATCAGCCCTCCACCTGTCTCACCTCCCTCTGAATCCCCTCCTGATGTGAGGCACCTGCCACCTGCCCTGACCACATACTGTCGCGGTACCCATATGTGGGTGCCAGAAAGAGCCGTGGCCAGTTCCTCTGGGCAGCTGAGGGCAGCTGGGTTCCTGAGGATCCCCAGGAGCAGCCTGACCACACAGGGAGCTGCAGTTGGAGGCAGAGGGAATGGTCCCTTGTGGAGAGTTTTTTCTGGTTCAGAAAGATGAGCCACAGGGAGCAGCACATCCCTGGACAGATGCTTGCTTTGTCCTGTTTCCAACCCTCTGAGGGGGAAAAAAAAAACCACGGTGGCCTCTGGGGGAAAAGTGGGTTGGCATCTTAAGATCTCAGGGAGGGCCTGTGCCTTGGACCAGAGCTTCCCTCTTATTATTTCACCCTGGGAAGCCGGTGATTTGAAAAATTTGTCCAGCCAGGACCCTGCATTTCTTAGGCAGGAACAGTCCCTTTGTGACTAATCCCAGATGACTCTCATTGTGTATACCTGCCAGTCACAGGCCCGGACGGCAGGAGGCAGCCAGCATTACCAGTGTAAGCTGATACTATTCCTGCCCAAAGAAAACGAGAGGGGGAAAGGCCCCAATAATCTGGGTAGGTAGCCTCACTGTAGATAAACAAATGATGCCTCTTAGTCTCTAAAATAGAAATAAATTCTCCAACCCCCATGGCCAACACAAGAACCACGTACTCCGTGAGAGGAGAAGTCAAGGATGGAGGAGGGCTTTCTGTGCCCACACCCCCACCTCACCACCACAGAATGCACACATTAACTCTGGTGTGCCCCCCTCCCCCTGCTTTTCTCCTAGAGAGGGAGAAGCAGCAGATCCAAGTGGTCTGCAGGAGCCTGGACTAACCTACCTTCCAGAGGCAGGATGTACCTTGTGTGGCTGGAACCCTGGAGAGACTGGATCCACCCTCACCGCTGATGAACACCTGCTGTCTGTTGGGTTTCTGACACGTTCCTGGGTCAGAGGGAGCTATCTGGCTTTTTCCTAGCTGCTTAGAAATGGCTATTTGACCGTAGTGTAATATGTTCACACCAAAACCATTTACACTGTAGCTGTGCCTGTGGGGATGGCTCACTTCACGCCTCATACCAGCTTCCAGACATCATTCGGGCATAGGCTTTCAAAGCAGGTGTCCAACCTCTTGCTCTTATTTTCCTTCAGCTCCAGATCAACTGCTCATGTAAGAGTCGTGGGGCGAATGCTGTTAGTGGTGTGTTTGTGATTTCTGTAACTGTCGGGGGTGGAGAGCAAACCTGTCTCTTTGAAACATGTGGAGAAATAAATGCCTTATAGCTCCAAAAACAAGTGTGGGGTGCCTGCCAACTGGCTGGTATAAGGACTCTGGACAGGGTACGTACCTACTGTCTCATTATTTTGGGCTCTTGGACTTGCTGTAAGTTTGTAGACCACAGGCTACATCTTCGCGTTGGTTGGTGTGGAATCTGGTGGATTGGAAAGCTGCTGAAAAAGCATGCACAGATCTCTTGATTTGTTCTTTCTCTACAGTTTGCTGAACATTGAGACTCTAACATTTTTCTCTTAAAGTGTGTGTGTGTGTGTATGTGTGTGTGTGTGTGTGTGTGTGTGTGAGCAAATATAATCTGACTGGCCAACATGAACCAGCACTATTGCCTAAATACCCAATTAAAAGTACAAATAAAGCATTCTCTGAAGAATAATCAATATTGATAGGAAATTTGAGGGATGTATGGTTAACCCAAAGGCGCATGAATTGACAGAGGACCTCCGCCGATGTTTGTAGAGGATATTTGCCCAGATTTTGTTATCAAGAGATTACCATGCACCACTGTTTACGCAGAATCCTTCCAATGAAGACTTGGTATCTGGTGTCCCAGGAGGCTGGGGTGGGGACAGTACTCTGGAACCTGAAGTGGCTGGTTCCCATGTCTCAGAAGGGTCCAAGGAGGTTTGTAAAAGCACAGGTTCCTGAGCCCCGCCCTGCACAATGAAAATCAGAATCCCTGGGAGTGGAGCCCCAGGGCTGCCCTGCAGACAGATCCCCTCTGATGTTACCAATGGCGTGGGTGCCCTTTCTGTAGAGGAGAAAGAGGGAGGATTGGAAGGGCGGATTCTTACTCTGGGTCTGCAGCAGACTTGGAATGGGACCTCAGGTCAATGCCTTACCCAGTCTAGGTCTCAATTTATTTCATTTTAAAATGAAAATAATTCTGCTGACTTACCCACCTCAGGATTCTGGGGGAAATGCAATTAGAGGGAAGGTGGGGAGGAAGCACTTGTCCATGCCCTCTTCGAGCTCTGCTGAGGGCAGCAGCATCGTTACTTCCATTAGATGAGGAACACAGGCTCTGAGAGGTGAAGCAATTTGCCAAGGTCCCAAGACCTGAAGATGAAGGAGCCCTGTTGTGAATCCAGGCATGCCTGGCTCCAGAGCTCTCCTTTCCATCAAGGTGCTTCTCTGATATTTTAGCTATCAGGTATATGCTTGGGAGTCAGCTGAGGCATGTGGACCAGCAGCATTGGCATGGCCTGGAAGCTCATTAGAGATGTAGGTTCTTAGGCCCCTCCCAGGCTGCCCGCCCCGGAGTCTGCATTTGAACGAGTTCTCCAGGGATCCTTTTGCCTTTTCTCTCTCTCTCTCTCTCTCTCTCTCTCTCTCTCTCTAGTATTTATTTATTTATTCATGAGAGATACACAGAGATAGAGAGGCAAGACACAGGCAGAGGGAGAAGCAGGCTCCCCGCAGGGAGCCCAATGCAGGACTCGATCCCGGGACCCCGGGATCATGCCCTGAGCGGAAGGCAGAGGCTCAACCACTGAGCCACTCAGGGGTCCCCCTTTTGCCTTCTCTAGGGTGAGAAGCACTGTCAAGGAAGACTGGAGATTGCACAAGAGAGTAAATCTGAAGATAAGGGCATATAGTAAATATACAGAATCCAACACAAATGGAAGATCCTCGCAGGGATGAGCAAGGACGCGGCCTTTATTGGGCCAAGCCCATGAGGAGTGAAAGGCGTGGAGTATCTCAGCCTTTCCGTCTGAGCTTCCGTTGCCAGGGAAGCTCGCCTCCCCTGAGAAAGTCCCACCGTCCAAGTGAATGGGTTTTACGGTTTTAAGGTGGAAACAAATTGCTTTCATCAGTGTGTGTGTGGGTGTGAGTGTATATTTAATTTTCAAAGATAATATGATTACTTTTATGTTTAAAAAGAGAGAAGGAAAAATCAGGAAGAAAGTGTTTGGCAGAGCGAAGTGTCATCCCTTCCCATGTATTTCAGGAATGATCCCTTTATGGCAGAAAGCACCCACCGGGGAGGACAGCCGGTTAGGTGGGGGACGGCCAGCATCCACAAGATCTTCTCTCTGCATGCCGGTCCTCAGGTTAACTTGTGAGGCCCATCAGTTTGAAGGGCATCCCCGATACTCCCCTGCCCGAGATGCTCCCTGCAGAAGGTCATGCCCTGCCCCGGGGCCGAGAAGCAAAACTGGCAAACCAGGGCTTTGAGAAGTGCGGGCACACATCCGGGCAGCACCCAGACTGCTCGATTTGGGGGGTGTCGGTCCAGTTCAAAGGGATTCCCAGCCTGTGCCCGGGACGTCCAGGAGGATTTGACTGGGGCAAGAGCATCTCTGTTCCCTCCTTGCCTTTCCCGGATTAGCTCTGCTGGTGCCTCACGACACCCCTGGGTGAGCTGGGCTTGCTTTCCAGTGACTTCAACATGTGTTCTCGTGTTTAAGTTCCTGATTTGTATGCACCGTGTTACTTAACCCTTACGAGCCTCTTCTGAGACCAGAACCAGTCGGCATCCCAAGTATTCCATTGGGTTACACAGACCTACCCTGCCTTCCGGGGACTTGGAGGGTGAGGCAGAGAGAGTGACGCCAAACTAGTGTCCTCCGTGGTTTGGGCTGCTTCCCCCACCCTCAGCGCTGGCCCTCTTGTACCGGCTTCACTTCAAACTATCCAAATTGGAATGGGCTAAACCAACTTTTTTTTTTTTTTCCAGTCTCTCCCTCCTTGTTTTGTTTTTTTCTTAATTTTTCAGAAGTCTGGAAGGAGGGGATTTGGGATGATACCATCATTCTCTCACTTCTTTCATTCTGTTAACAATTTTTCTTGAAAGAAGCTTTGATTTTGAAAAAGATCATGCACCTTAAAAATTTGGGGGCTCCAGAAAGTCATTTCAGCTAAGCTGTAAACACTTCTAGAAAGCTGAAAATGAAAGAGGAGCTGCCCACCCAGGCTCCCCCGGGGGACCTGGAGCCATCACTCCCTTCACGGTGCCTGATTTCAGAGATGAAGAATTTTCAGGGTGTGCTGGAGGCAGGGGGCTGCGGCTGGCCAAGACCAGACTGCGTAGAGCAGCCTTGCTGTTCTCACCGTCCTCTCTTCTCCACTAACCGGTCCCTTCCATCACCCGGAGATGAACTGGGAAGGCTGGTTATTGACAGCTGGGCAATTGGCACAATAAAGTTTAACGGTTTACATCCTCTTGTACGATTTTGTCGATGTTTTCAATGGCTCACCTTCTCGGGTGCTGGTTCTCACACTTGTACTGACTCTCTCCTTCTTCTCTTTCCCTTCAAGCGTGCAAACGCAAAGAGCAAGAACCAAACAAAGACAGGAACAATTCCCAGAAGAAATCCCGCCTGGTGTTCACCGACCTCCAACGCCGAACACTCTTTGCCATCTTCAAGGAGAACAAGCGCCCATCCAAAGAGATGCAGATCACCATTTCCCAGCAGCTGGGCCTGGAGCTTACGACCGTCAGCAACTTCTTCATGAATGCCCGGCGCCGCAGCCTGGAGAAGTGGCAGGACGATCTGGGCACAGGAGGCTCCTCATCCACCTCTAGCACTTGTACCAAAGCGTGATGGGAGGACTCTCGCGGTTGGGCACAGGTCACCTCCAGATGGGGACAACTGACACAAAAGAAAACACAAAGGAAAAAAGACACCGGATTCTTAGCTGGGGCCCTTCACTGGTGATTTGAAAGCACAATTCTCTTAAAAAGAAACTTCTATTCTAGCTGTAATCATAGGCCAGGTGTTCTGTTTTGTTTTGTTTTTAATGGCTATGGAGTCCAAGTGCAAGCTGAAAATTAATCTTTTTGAACCGGACATTGTCCTCTCAGCATGCTGAGCATCCCAGAAACCCAAATGAGGCCTTCCTGGAGCGAAGTGATTCCAGTGTGGTGTCAGCCAAGCTCGGGATCTCGCCAGATGTCAACAGTCCCACTCTGGGCCCTGTTGCAGTCAGAGTTCCCACCTGTCACAGTGGGAATTTGGCCTGTGTAAGGATTCTGAGTTTGGGCCCCCAAGATGCTACCATAAGAGATTCTTCTAGCAACAAGAATGACCTCATTTGTTTTCCAAGTGCTTAGCCTCATCATACCACAGTACACCAAAGTTCACAGCCATAACATTAAAAAAAAAAAATCAGAATGATAATTACTGAGCACAACTTTTAAATACGGAAATTAAAAAAAAAAAAATCCAAGGACCTGTTTTTCCAACTCAGGCATCATTCCATTGAATGGTTTGGAAAGCTTTAAGTTGATCCAGTTTACAATTTTCTTTTCCTTACCTCCTGGAAATCTCACGTGGTCTTGGATCCATCAAAAAAAAAAATCAGTTCTCTTGAGCTCAACGTTTCAAGCACAACGTAGATAAACAGAGAAGTAAGGAAGGTTCTGGATTCACCACATCTGGATTTTCAAGACACTGATAGTGAAGTCATTAGGGAATCGTTGGGAATATGGCTTCAAGCACATTTTGCAGTTTGCTACAAATTCTGTTTGTACATAATGCAGACGCACACTCAGGAGGCCAATTTAACTGTTACGGTACATGGAGAAAATGCAGCATTTTAAAAGATCTAGATTTTTTTAGATCATTGATGTATCCTCCTCGGTTATTAGTCATCTGGTTCCTCCTATTGTGCATTGTAACTACCACATGATCCATTCTCACTCGTTCAGATTTCTGTTGTTTCCCATCCATCCCATCGGTAGGGACGTTTTTCAGTGTTTTCTAGCAAGAAAAAAAAAAAGAAGTAATTCAAACCACCATACGTGTAACTCATGAGGGTCATCTGGTCCCAAATCTCTTCCATTGTCGAATCATCCTTGCAAAACAGCTGAGTAAATCTGGAGAAAACACAGCACACCAAAGAAGCAGAATACTGCAAACCAAAGACATTTATTACTTGCCATTTTCTAGCCTAAAAATACTGTGATTACTTTTAGAAATCAGAAAACCTCTGCAACTCCAAATGGCATTCAGCTCTTGCATTTGGCTCACCATCAGGCTGAGCAGACGGGCTAGCCAAGTCACCCTGGGGAGTGGCTTTGCCACGCCAGCCCCGGCTCCTGGCTGTCACCTTCCCACAGCACGGAAGAGCGCCCACACGACTCTGGGAGGTTGCGAAGGTCACGATGTGCATATTTACCAGTGAATGGCCCCAGGTGGGCACCACGGGGGAGGGGTTCGAAGCAAGCCAAACGCTGCAATGATTCTTTACAGACACTTGAGACTGACTTTTTTATGAATTACTTAATCGAAACCAAAGAAACTTTTTCTGCACCTAATTCTGCAACAAACAAAACTGTTCCATTAAAATGAATAACTAAATACGTAAATCCGTGAAAATCACCACCAAGAAGGAAGCACGCCAGAAAACAAAAACAAAAAAAACCCACAAAATCAAAATCAAAACCAAAACCAAAACAAAACAGCAACAACAAAAAAAAAAAAAAAACACAAAAAACAGCGAGACACACTGTGTTTAAACAGACCTCTTGGGACATTTTTTGGAAGCAGATTTTAAAGAAAGGGTTGAGACAGGAATAGATATGAGGAAAAGCCTCGGTGGCTACTGCTTCATTTGACAACTCACGTGGTAATCTTAAAGTTGAAGATTGTCTTTAATTTGTGCCTATGCAGTTTTTCAAAAGAACACGGAACAGAGCAACAGAAACCTCAACAGCTACAATACCAAAGATGAGGATTTCTCACATCTTTTGTTTCAATTCGTTATCTCCTCTTGTCTGGCTAAAATACTAATAGCGTCATTGATCTGTGGGAAGGTAATCAATTTTGTTTCTGAGCAACAAAAGGAAAGGGTCATTGATTTGATTTTATTGTTTCCCTTTAATTTTGTTTTATGGCTTTCTACCCCAGCATGGAATCTCTCAAAAGTTTCCATGGACTCCAAGTTTAAGATGTTGGGATACTGAACTGTTCTCTCTACTCCTCAGAGTTTGGGGAATAATGTCACTTGAATGTTCTTTGCTAACCCCTTAGACTTGGTTCCTTCTATGTTCAGAGTCTCAGCATCAGGGGAGGGAAGGGGAGTGAGGGTCAGGGTCAGAGGTCTTGGTGACACATCCTCTCCTGAACCACAGAACCAAAGAGTTTGTAGAGGAATCAACAGCCTCATTTTCATGTGATTGCTACATCCTAATGGCTTCATTTGGGGGAGGGGGGAACATGTAAAAATAATTGCCAGTTTCTACTTTTCTATTAGCTTTTTAAAAATCGGCTGTAAAGTTGCATTTCTAAAGAAAGAGATATATATATAATATATGAATACATATATAGATTCAACTTGACATTGGTGATAACCCCAAATTCTTGCTGTCCGAATCCATGTCTTGTTTTGGTCAAGTGCTTCATTTATTAAGCATTCAGTTCCGAATTCTGCTCATTTCTCATGCCATCCCAGAGCCCAGAGTCTGTTCTCCACTGTGGATGATTTGGAGTACTCAGATTTCTCTGAAAGTTCCTGAAAAGGTTGAAAGTCCAACTCCAGCATTTCAACATTTAGCCTGTTGATAAATGGATCCATGGTGCAAAGGAGTTTTTATTTGTATCTGGAGTCATCTCTAGTCTACGCCTCAGCCACCGTCAAGGTAGCGAGTGGGGTCTGTCCGTGAGACCAGGCCCCCAGCTGGGCTGGGGCCAGTGGGGTGCTTGTCTTCTGTAACTGCTGGGGAGGCTCGGTGGTCCATTCCCACTAGCTGTGAAGATGAGGCCAGTCCAGAAGGTGTTCTCCAGGAGCTACCCTGTCCTATCAGGGTGTCCAGATCCCCTCGGTGAGCAGATCCACCAAAGGGACTTCTCACAGGGGAAGCCCAACTCCTGTTGCGATGGGCTGACCAGGTTTCCTCAGGGTGGCAGTTACCAACCTGTATTGACAGGCCTGTGTGCAACCACAGCAGGCACTGGAGTAAGGCAGTGATACTTACTCCTCGGGGGCTTGTCTCAAGCCTGGAGGGAAAACACAAAGCAGGGTTTGGGGCGAATCCCAGCGTCCTGCCCCCGAGTGCCCCATCGTCCAAAGTGCCACCTCCTTGCGCCCACCACGGGGCTCTCCCTTGGCAGGGGCAGCAGTCACAGAGCTTTGAAGGAATATGACTCTCGTGGCTTTTGTACTCCCATCTGATCGCAACATTTTCCAGGACTTTTCCTGGTATCCTTTTGTCTCTTGCTCATACCCCATGTCTTCTTTGTCAGACGACTGAGAAAAAGAGCATGTTTCAGCTGGGGAATGCTCCATATGGGTTGATAAAAAGGAGTTTCAGCTCAGCCCTTTCTAAATGAAATCCTTGTGACTTGGGGCCAGTGTTTTGGAGACTGGATTGAGGGAACAAGCCTGCTTGGTTTGGTTAGCGATCCTTTGGCATGCTAATCTCACCATTTGGGTTCCGGCACCCTCTGAAGATGTCAAAACCCAAAGAGGCTGCCTTTGTGGCCTGAGATTTCCGTAGTGCTAAAACCTGTTGTAGCCACGTACATGCCCTCCGTGTTGCTGCTGACCCGAGGAGGACATGATGATGCAAAAGGGGCAAGAACTTCCCTCCAAGGACATTTGTCAAATGTTTCTTACTGGATAATGTCATCCCACAGAGAGGTGCTTGCTTCTGGAAAATTATTTACATACATCTATGAGTACACATGTGTATTCATATATTTATGTATCAGAATTTTAAGCCCTACAGAATTTCAATTTGTGAAAAATCTGAAAGCAAAAAAAAAGATCCTGCCAATTGAAAGGTAATGAAATTTGACCCAGTGGGTTTCCTCAAGCATTTTTAGAACTTAAGTTAATCATTTCAGAGAAAATAACCATTTGGACTTGGTTAGACTTGAGGGTCTGTTTCTTCAATCCAAAAAAATTCCAGGCATGCCTCAGCCATCAGCAACAAAGTGGACAGTGTAAAGGGACAGTCTAAGCCAAAATTCACATTCTTGAGGCAACAGAAATCTAGAGGCTATTGAGTGGAAAAAATAACTTTTCTTTATTCCTGTAGAGAAATAAGCTTGCTTCACTTTTGTTTGCAATGTGATTTTGGTACTGGGGATATAATTCTTTCATCCTGGGAAAATTTTTAAAAGAGCCAGTCTAGTTCTTTTTTAAAGGAAAACAACAACAATAAAAACTCAACCCTGATACGTAAAGGCTTTTCCAAAATGTAAAATGGTAGGTTGTACCACTTAAAGGGGAGGAAAAGGAATGAGGTGCTCAGGAGGCCGCTTCCTCTGGAGAGGTCAGAGCATCACCTTTGCATCTTTTGCCATGGGCTCTTGGCTACTGTGGGCTTAGAAAATGTAAGCTAATTTTCATTTCAGCCTAAAATGAACCCAAAATTCGGAAGGTAGATCCGACACACACACACACACACACACACACACACACATATGCATTTTTGTAATTCAAACGGTATATTTGAAAGCCAAATATAAATACCTTTTAGATGATCGGTCATTTCATCTGACCTGTGCTGGTCACCCACCTTTTAATGCCAATAAATTAAAGTTGAACTTTTTTTTTTTTAATCACTACTACCTGGTATAGGCTGGGAAACTTTCCCACTTTTGAAACAATGCTGGTAGAATTATTGAAGTGTCTGACTACCATTACCCAAGTGTCATGACAATATACCTCTGCAGTAAACTCTGATTTTCAGCAGGTAGTATAGTAGGAATTTTTAAAAATATAAAAAGAACAGCCTGAGTCCCAATGTTGTTGAAGAATAATGGACTCTATTAAAAAGCAGAGGAAAAGGGATGACACATGTGGTGAAGGTTGACCCTAAAGCCCAAACACAAGTCCTATGAGAGTAACTGCCATGATTCTTAACAGATCAGAGATGATTTTTGTTGTTGTTGTTGCTGCTGATGCTGTGTAGTTGGACTTGTTAGCCTAACCAGGAAGAGTGGGTAAAAAATGGTCGATAGAGAAGGGATAGAGCTGGTGTGCCTGTAACTTTCAAATATTCACATGCAAGACTGGATAGCTAAATAATTTTGTACATTTAGCTAAGACCAAATCACCTCTAAAACAACAGGAGATTATAGTTTTCAAATAAGGCCCCCAAATCCTTACTAAAGGAAGAGGGGGCTGTTCGTTGTATAAGTCTCATAAATTAATGATATTGGCTTTAAATATGGCTGTCCCGATGCCCATTTTCTGACCATGATTTATTTCTTTCTAAGGGAGAGGGGTGGGGGGTTTGTTTTAGAAAGTCTCAGAATGTGTTATAAAATACCAAAATAATGATTAATGTAAGGCCTTATGTATAGGTAGACACAAAGCCTATAATTGAGGCCGATTGGGCTATTAGATGAATCCCACAGGAACCTAAAATGCTTATTGTTCTCAGATACCAAAAGGACTCTGACAGTCTGAGACAGGTTAAAGCGAGAGCCCAAGCTGTCCTTATAGGTTTTTGAGTTTGGTTGACTGGAATCAACTTGCTAAGACCTTTTTAGTGGAGAAAATGTGTATAGGGAGAAAAAAAAAACCACATTGCTACAGGTCTGTTCATTCCATGGAAGCCTTCCACATTGCTCCATCTTCAGCAGCAGACATTTCACAGAGCATAAACCTTGGTAGATAAGTTTGCCTAAAGCTTATACAGTCTGTCAGCGTGGATGTATATGGATTTAGAGACATCTCTCGACATGTATTCTCATAGCTGTCCTTATAGCAACACACATTACCTATGGGTGTCCAGACTGTGCACAGACATCTCCATACATGTATGCTGTCATCTGTTACAACAAATGAGTTCAAATGATCACTTAACATCTATGTGAGACTTCTACAATGTGCATTGCTTTATTTATTATAACATTGAAAACTAAAGTGCAGGAAAGAAAAGTATCCCAGCATCTTCATGGTGTACACTTGGAATTACTTTCATTTGGGCACATCCAAGATAAACTCAACTTTCAAGAAACCTTGGATATTGTTTAATCATCTGTGTAAGAATGATACATATGCTTGATGACTTCGGTTGAATAGCTTTATTCTGGATCTCTCATAAACTACAGCTAAATCCAAAGACCTGGAAAAGGACAAGAAAGAAAAAAGAAAAAAAAAGGAAAAAAACAAAAACAAAAAAAATAGCAAAGTGCAAAGTCATAGGAGAAAAGTGGGCTCTGGTTTCCAGGGTTGAGACAATGGGATGTGGTGTCGTGGGGGCTGCACCAGCTAGAGGGGGAAGTGGGGATTTTTTTCTTTGTGCTTGTCACATCGAAATGGTCTTTATGAACGTGAGGAAGTTTTAGAGGTTATGATTTCCTGCTTTATTTTCACTTAGCTATCGAAAGAGGCTATACATTTTGTCCATCAAAAAAAAAATGAAGACCGTCAAAAAGAAACATTTTTCCCCCCTTTGTCTCTTTGGGTTATGACCCAACAGGCTATGTACCATTAATGTAATTAATTTATTTAAATTAGTTTCTAGCACACAAATGTATAGGATTTTGGTAATTAGGTCATCATCTTAGGTTAATTTTACTCCTCGTGCTTATTTATCGAAATATAGACCAATGGTGCATCAGAGATGCAAGATTTCTTTTAGGATTCTCTTGAAAGATGGTTTGCTTTATAAAGCAGTGAAAATCTGTTACAGACAGGGAAAAAGTACAGGTTACCAAAAAAAAAAAAATCAAGGTATTTTTCCTTCTCGAATTAACTTTGAAAATAGTTTAATGATTATTAAATTATTTAATTTAAGTTTGCAGCCCCACCTAGTACCAGGCAAACGTCACCTTTTAATTATTGGGGCCCTCAGAGCCTTCCTATCGTAACTTATTTATTTAACTTATTCAGCATCTACAAAAGGTGCACTGTATAGTTTATATTTTTTATTTAAAACAATAGAGAGCACTGCAGTTTGTTTGCTGTCAGAACAACAGAGCAAAGTTTGTGGACGAGCAATGACTATTCAACCCGAACCTGTGCGTTCAGAAAACACATGTCGAGACCCTGCTTCACCAGCCTGGATTTCGGGGCTTCTTTACAGAAACTGGAAAAAAATAAATAAATTTTCAAAGATCATAACAGCAAAAAGAGAGAAACCCTTACACTAGCTGCTTCCAAGAATGAACTCTGTATGTGTGTAAAACAACAAAACAAAAAGGGAAAAAAAAAAGCAGAAAAAAGAAAAAAAAAGGAAAAACTTTCTATTTCTAGTGAGAACCAAAGAAGGCTACCTCACTGACTTTTTCCATTTGTAATTTTAATCGTGTTGATGACACCAAAGATACCAAAGATTTCTTTCTCTGTGCGGTCTGCATTTTGCTTGTGCTCTTTTATAATTTTAACTATTCTCTCTGACATATGGTATGTACAGCCACAGCTCAGATACCCCAAAGAAATAATTATCTATGTGACGGTGGCTGCTAATTTGGAAAGGGATATTTTCTGTGTTTCTCTCATTTGTTCGCTGTCCCCTGCACATGTTCAGGATGCAAGTTCAGATGCTGCTGTAATTGGACTCCTTA